ATGTTTGTGCCATCGGATCCAGTGGCAGTCTGGGTGTTGCGATCTTTCACTAACATGCCAGCATTGAAGAAGACAAATGTACAGTTTTATTGTGCAAACAGAAAACTATTTCTGCAAAGCTTTTTTTAAACTCACAGAGCACTACTTTCTTAAAGAAGTGGCTTCCGTTGTAGGTTCTCATGCCTTCCCTATCTTGTTGGTATAGTCATCGTCCTTGTCAGTTAAATTTTTTTTTTTAATTATTTAACATGTTTAGGATGGTATTACAGAAGTGCCAGCCAAGAATAGGGGCTGATGGATTGATTCTCTACAAACATTATGAAATACATGGTCTCTTTTTGAAAGACTTTGATATTTAAATAGATGAGGCAGATGTGGTTTGAGGAGAAGACATAACCACAGAGAGATATTCTTTCTTCTGCTTATAAGGACAAGAAACCTTCATATAAAGTGAACGAAACAAGCAGCTAATAGAAGAGTAGACACCCCATGTATATAGTTTCATAAAAACCCCTGCAAATACCAGTTTAGAGATCTCAAATGACCTGCTCAGGTAACTCTTATTTCAGGATCCCAGGCAAAGCCAGGACTGCAACACCTCAGATACGTGGCCTGATATTTAGCAGATTTCACCTATGAGAAAATAATATCCAGGAGGAATCATGAGCTGCTTCCATTAGTCTGTAAGCCATCTGCTTCTCTGAAAATATAATATTTGTGCTGTTCCTGAAAAGCTTGGAATTGCACTGTCTCACAGTTGGGTGTATTTTGGGAAGGGTGTGTGTGTGTTTACATAAGTATGTTTTCTGTTACACTGCAGTATCTTATAGAGAGGTATTTCAGTCCCGAATAGGTTCAGATACTGATGTTAGGAAACTTGTATTTTAGTTATAGGCTTATAAAGTCCTTCAGAAGCATATGGGGTTTTATTGCTAAGAGCTCTTGTTCATACCTTCCTGGAGTTAGCCAGCTGACAATAGAATGATTTACATGATGTCGAAAATTTCTAATTTTTTTTCTATATAGAGATAGTTTCTCTGAAATGAAAATTATTTCCCCATTATTAATTTACATCCAGGAGTCAGGATTTCTGTTTGAAATACTGATAGGCAGGCACTTTCCTAAGGAGATAGTCTTTTAGATCTGTGGCATAGTTTGCTCTTTGTCAAACTATAGGTTTACAAATAGATATGTTTGCATTCCCTTCATACAAAATAAGTCTTTGAAAATTTTTAATGCTTCATTGAATGACCTGAGAAAAGGCAGAGCATGTCTGCCTCCTTGCAAGTGTTTCCTAGGTTTTGGCTTTATGCGTTTTTCTCCATTGATGTCATTCTGTTTTCTGAGGACTTCCAAAATCAGTCAAATGGTTGCTTCTGTGCAGGACAGCACATGTCTTTGTTTCAAGTATTTTGCTGTAAGGTCCTGATCCACAGGTAGCTTAAACTTCCGTACTCTTTTTTTACAGGTAAGTATTTCAGTCCTCCTTTTCTCCCTTCCAATGTATTTTGATTTGGGAGAGGGGAGGAAAGACAAGGTGGAGGGAAAGAGAGATGGAGAAGAAGTCTTGTGCGGCCTTCGTATTGAAATCTTAGGCTGACAAAGTATAACCTTTTTTTTTTTTTAAATATAAATTAGTAACTAGATAAAACCAGAATATTCTACCTGGCTAATTGTATCTTAACGGTTCCAAGCTAGAGTTCCACAGCCCTGTTGCGCTGGCTGGGGGACTGGTGGCACCAGTGGGTACCCCCACCTGCTGGCATCGCCAGCTGGAAATGGTGCGGAACTGCACTGAAACTGGAGGTTAGCATTCCTGAAGCAGCTTTCATCTAGCAAATCTTGTATGCTAATAGCTGTAGTGATGTGGAGATAAAGCTTCAGTGGTGGTCCTGCTCTTCAAAAACCCAGTACCACGCTGATCTTCACTGCAATTGGCACTCAACCTTAATAAACGATTGCTTTGGATATAGCTTCATGTACTTCAGTCACAGGAATATTAGGAGGAGTAATTCAATCTCAGTGGATCATATGGCATGAGATATCTAGCATGAGGTGTTTCAGAGATGGGAAATTACTGTTAAGTAGGTGATTAAGTCAGTTTTTTGACCTTTTCTGCCGCCGAACTTCTAAGTCTCGCTATATGTGCACGCAGACAGTGCAAAGGGGTAGAACAATGAATCCATAATAATGTTGGGATGCATCTGTTTAAAAACAGCAATTAAAAGCATCGCTTTAAGTCTGTGTTGCTAATTATAATAAGCAAGTGTTCTTATTTTGAGTGACTGTAAAGAATATCTGGGCAGTTTTCTGAAGTTTCCCATGCCCGTCAGTTACTCGCCCAGCTGAGGTGTTTGGATGGGTGCACTGGCCCGGGGAAGGGATACACAGCAGAAAAAACCCCTCCAGGACTCCCAATTTTCTCTGGTTTGTTTTTTTAAAGTTTAGAGGTTGCCGTGGTTCAATCGTGTTACAAATGCTTGCTGTAAACTCTCTCAGAAAGAGATGGATAGGAGCAAATAATACAACTCCCACAATACTTGCTTATGGTTCACTGCCAAGGCAAACTATAGCAGCATGCCAGTAACTGCAGATCACAGATTCTTTATTACTCATCAGTGAAAAAAAGGGCAAGGGAAAAAAACTGCTTTTATATTATAAATGCCAATTAATGAACAAATACTAAGCTAAGGTGGAATAGACTTCCAATTTTTAGTCCCATTTGGCTATTAATTCCATGCCAATAGCACTGCAGGAGATGTGCTCACCAATGAGAGGGCTGATGTTGAGGTTCCTCTTTGGTGTTAGTGTACCACATCAGAAGTAGCTGTCGTCTGTGATTCCTGATTCTCTTTACCCTCAGTTTTTCTTTTGTTTAATGAGTCTTTGAACCAGAGGAATTCTGTTTAATTAAGCAACTCTTGGTTTCTGATCCTGAAATGAGGTCTGAGGAGACAACCCACGCATCTGTAGCTCGTCGTGCTCTCCGCGGGTGCCTGGAGATCACTGCTGAGGTCTCAGCAAGCGCCGTCCTTCGGAAACACTGGGGTGGAAATGCAGCTGCTCTTCTTGGTGCTTTCCACTTGAAGGAGGGTACACAGAGCATGTTTGGAAAGAATCATGTTTTGCAAGTTGATGCTTAGCCAGGGTTTTTGGGCATGCCTGTCTCAGGCAAATGCTGAGACAGGCGGCAAAGGAGAAGGGATTCTACAGCTTCTTGGTGCTTGGACCGCAGATGAAATACTATCCAGGCTCACCTAAGCTGTAATCATCATGAGAGACCATCTTTTTCGGTGAAAAATACAATTCAGACAACCTTTTTCTCTCTTGGAGATAGTCATGTCATAATGGCGGTACCTTCTTAGGGTAGTGTGGAAGTTTTGGTGGTGAATTACAGACAAGACCCATCTTCCAGAACTGCGTCTGGTGACTTACGTGAGAACTGAAATGATTCAAAATGCCCCCAGGGAAGAACATCTATGCTTCACTTTTATACTCACTGTAATGTAAATGCCTTCCTGTTGAAGTGCGGTCTGTGACAGGCAAGTATCTCTTCGTTCATCTGATTTTGCTGGTGTGGTGTCCTGGCGGTGTGGTCGTCAGTGGGAGTCCAGCAGTTAGTTTCAGTGAGGCAGGCTTGTGATCCGCTCGCTCTGGTGAGCGTATGATTTCAGAGTGTTTGAACAACCCCAGGAGGGATGAGGGGATTTCAGACCCGCTAAAGACTCTATCGTATTTGGACAGTTCTGTGGAGCTGGACAGACAATATTTAATGATAAAGTGATTTAACCCATATATTTCTGAAAAGCTCAAGTAGTGTCAACTCCAGACCACACTGAGTACAGACAGAAAGATAATAAGCTTACTCAGTGGGTTCATATTTTATGTTACCACTGTCAAATATTTTCTTACCAAAATCATTTGCTGTCTAAACTGCTGAGTTTATACAAGTCCATTGTAATTTGTGCAGTGATAAATATTAAACCAGAGTATATTTTCAGAGGAAATAAATTTAGAGCAGGCCTCTTTGTTCTTTAGCAGAGGATCTCCGCTCCTGTCAGTTAGGAGATGGAGCAAACATTCTTCCTTCTAATAGCATAATTATTCAAAAATGTTTGCAAGGATCTCTTTGTAGAATTTGTGCTCGTGCTTTAGAGTCATTCTTTTATTCCAAAATGAGGATAAAAGGTTTAAGATTGAACAGCTTGACAAGGTGATGTAGGTTTACAAACAAAATTTGGAGGAGAAAGGGCCTGATTGTATGTGAAAGTTATCCATTTAAATAGAAATCTAAAACTAAAGATGCTTCACCACACCATTTAATTTTAAGGATTTTCAGAACCCTTCTCCTGTCTTTTAAGAAATTTTAATGGTTAACTTTACAGCCACCTGAGGTACTGCTTTGCAAAGCAAAAAAAACCCGTAAACTTGGACACCATCAGTTTCTTAAGCATGTTTTAACACACAACAGTAATGCTTTCATTTTAACAGATGGCATTTTTAGCTTTAATAACTTTTGCTAAAATCAGTAGGTTTATTTTTCAAATTTTGAGAATGCCCATGCTCTTGCAGTGTCAGGCACCAAAAAAGCTGCAGTCTTGGGTTAGATCAGGTGTAACTACTGATGCCTTGGCCTGGGGAGATGTGTGTGTGTGCACACATATAATGTCTTTTCCATGTGAAACCTAGGAAAACATGTACTTTGACTTTCATTGTCATTTTCATACAATTTTCTGTGTCATTCTTTTTCTCCTTTTTTTCCATCTTATTAGTGCAGATTGGAAATCAACCTTCTTTGGGGGAGTGCCAGATAATCCTTTGAATGCATAATGTTATCTGTAATCTAATGGGATTTTTTTCCAGTGTAAAGGTCTCCCAGGTCTGCTGCTTGAGTGTACTGAGCACATCATTAATCTAAAGCATGTGCTCACTGAATTTCACCTTGAACATGCAGTAAAAATATCTGTGTCTTTATGCTGAATAAGTCTGATGTGCTTTAGTGCCTGTAAGTGATGAAGAGGAAGGAGGCATTCTCTTTGATAACATCGCCAAATCTGCCATTGACCCCTTCGACACCTCTTCTGGATCGGTACAACTGATAGCTATCAAACCCGTGGCACTACCTGCTGTTCATGCTGCATCAGATAGGAGCCAGGAATCTGCCATCATTAATGGAGAGGTAAGGACTCTCTGATAATGTCTCCAGCTGTTTCCTTGGCTACATCGACAGGTGGAACAATCTTAAGCCCATTAGAGTTGAGGACTGGTAGGAGCTTTTCACCCTGATGCTATATAAAGTCCCATTAGCATTGTGGGCTCCAAAGTCTGAGAATTTAAGATCTGTTCTTTGACAATGCACCTATGAATGCATGCGACCTCGAAAGAGGAAATTTTCTATATTCCGACCTTCCCAATATCCTTCTTTCCTATCATATTTGTTTTAACAAAATGAGTAGTGAAGACAGAGAGCAGAATAAGATCTTTGTCTACATGAATTCTGCGGCTGAGCATGGAAATGTATATAGATCGTCTGGGTGCCAAGCTGCTCCTTATGTACTGAGCAACACAACTCATTCAGAGCAAGAAGGGATGCAACAGAGGGTGCAGTTATTTCATGGGAGCAAAGTGGGGATGGCATAAGCATCTGATCCAGGTGCTGGCCAAAAAATCACACTTCAGCTCCAATACTTGTATGATTATTCATGTTTTTATGTAGATTTAATCAACACTGGTCCATTTACAAAGGACTGAGGCTTTTATATAGTTGTTAAACATGATGGGGACAAGCCGGAGAGGTGTCTTGTTTGCAAACTCTCACTGCAACAGTCATGTAAAGATCAGCCAGAATCTCCCTGATGCTGTTTAAAAGCAACAGGGAGGGCTGCTGCCAGAGACCCAGTAAAAGAGTGTCATCAGGCTTCCCAGGTGGGCCTGCGTCAGAGCGGTCTGTCATGCTCCCTTTTGTACTTATGTTTTAAGCCCTCTTGTGTCTCCAAACTCAGAGAAAGGTTTATTTAGATTTCAGCATCTATTTTCTGTAAGTCAACAGGATGGCACTCCCAGTGCTCTGTGCTCTCTTGTACATCCATTTCTTGAAATTTGAGAGAAGACTGTAGAATTTGACTCTGGAAGCACAAAGCCCAAATAAATTGCTCATTTCCATATAACTGACAATTTGAAGCAGGAGGGAAGTTTTCTCAACACTTTAGGAGTGTCCATGGGATCTGACCTGTACCAGGTCTGACCAAACAGCCATTTATTTAAGGATCCTGTCTCTGACAGAGGCCCATAACAGATTTGTAAGGAAGCATATAAATAAAAGGAATATATGATGATATTTCACTGGAATTCTTCCCCAGCCATCAGTGATGACTTATTTAAGGTTTTGTGTAGTCAGGAGCGATGTCTCTGTACTTATGGGACCCTAGAAGAGTTTTCATCGGTGAATTCTCCCTGTGGTGCTCAAAAGCAAGCACGGTGTTGGGTCACGACAATTGGCTAACATCATCAGTGTTTTTCTTCAGTGGGTGTATCTGAGTCACTGTTGTAATGGTACATAGTTTTTAGGCTAAAATTATTTAACCATCTGCCAAGCCATAAAAATGCAGCGACTCTGTTCACTTGCAGTTCCTCGCTGCTTACAGATGGCACGGTGTGGTACAAAACACGCTCTGTAAAATGACACATGCAGTGCATCAAACACAGTCTGACAATATTGTTTGGAAGTAGCCAGCCCAGCACCATCCTTTAAACGTCTTTTTGCCTTTTAGATGAACAAGGCTTTGAAGCAGAAGTCCGATATAGAACATTACCGCAACAAACTGCGCTTGAAAGCCAAGAGGAAGGGGTACTATGATTTCCCTCAGGTTGATAACAACAAGGGGCTGACAGAGAGAAAAAGGATGTATGAGAAAAACCAGAAAGAACTTGACCACATTTTGGATCCAGATGCAGATGTCTCGTCTCCGTTTGCTGAGCCTAAGAACAGGTGAGACTTTTTATATGCAGTTGTTCATCTGGGAGGACAGTTGATGTCCAGGGGTTGTAGGAAATCAAAGGGGCCATGCTTAAGGAGCCAACTGTTTGTCGTATGGTCAGCTGGTCCCTTCTGCTTTATGGAGAAAATTCATATAACCCATAATTATTTATGAAGGTATGTCATCTGGTAAAGCTTCACTGTGGTTAAAAAGAAAGAAATGGAAAATAAAAAAAATAAGGGAAGGGACAGTTGCAAGTTCTTCTGAGTCATTTTTCAAGTAAGGTAAATAAAAAAAAAAAGTGCTAGTGATGTTTTTGGTAATACTAAGAGTGGACTTAAGCCAGGAAGTTAGCATCTGAACTTGTTCTTTTGCAAAGTTCAGTGGTGTTGTTATTTTGTCATTATTTTTACCTGAATATAAGTATTGCAGTAGGCATAAGATAACACAACCAGTACGTTGTCCATGTATTTCAGCAAGTCCTGCGGGGAAAGTATCTGTAAGGTTGTGTGTGTACCTGTTACTGGTGATCTTCCTGTGCCTTTAACGGAGAAATTCATGGTTTGCTCATCTGTGACGTGAAGCTGGCATATTGTATAACAGTACTAATGTTTGATTAACGCTTCCCTGTCTCTTGAGGATGGCACACCAGTAGCATTCATTTCCCCATTTTAGAAACGAGAGGGGAGTGTACATGCTGATTCTGCCTGAGCCTGCTGTGGGTGGGTGGACCTGCTCTGCTGCTGGCGCTCTCTGAAACACGAGTTGACATACTGAAAAGAGGAGACCACACCAGTCCTACCCCAGGAAAGGCACAGTATGCAGATTCTGCTTCCTTACGGGTGGTAGAGGTGTGAAAGATTATAAGAGTGTGTTTGCCATTGCGCCTCACCCCACAAGGGCTCTGGTTCTTACTGTAATCAGGGACCAGCAGCAGTTGATCCATGAGAGGAAAAGCAATACTGAAATACATTTCCTCTGGAAATGGCCCTCATGCCTGGAGGTGCAATCTTGCATCCCATCTCCTGGAAAGTTCAGACCAAAGTTTTCCTATAAGCGTAAATCATGACTGCAATCAAAGCGTTGGTGGTGACACAGTCTTTGCACACAGTGCAACTTCAGCAATACCCTTGGGGTACAGAGATGAAAAAAGACTGTGATGGGAAATATAAAAGCAGTGTTAGCTCAGAATATGGGCAAAAGCTGTGATGAGATGAACTTCTATAGGTCTAGAGTTAAATGACTGAGGGATACTGCCCTTGATGGGCCGTTTCCCAGGGTTGCACTGGTCAATGAAGAAAAAAGATGCTGACTTAACTGTATGTTATGTCCTCGCTGGAGGGTCTGGGGCATCATTTCCTCGTGCAGTTTTCCAGTGAGGGAGGAATAAATTGCTCCAAGTGCACTGAACAGGTAAGATGCTGAACCCTCAGTACACAGGAGTCTGGCTCTGTCTGCACAGTCTGTCCAGAAGATATAGATGGAACAGCAGAAACATTGATATGACTGTGTGCTGTACATACAGTGAAGGACTGAGGCATTATTTTGGATGTTTATTATGTGTCGTATGCCATGTAGGAAATGTTTAAAACATTACACATGAAGCTTTAATGCTAGCCATCTGCTTTTTGTTAAATATACTGATGTTTGTTTGTTCATGTGCCAATGTGCTGAAAGGTCCCAGAATACGTTTTTTCCTGTGTGTTTTCTGATGTGTTGTGTAAACCTGTCATAGTCTATTTGAGATGGTGATCACTGGCATGATATAAACTGCTTGAAGGCAGGTATACTGCTGCAGAGGAATGATTTCATTGTGTAGCTGAACCATAAAAGGCTGACTGCCAGATTTACTTGTTAAATATATAGTCTATATCCCTACACAGGAAGAGAGAATAACCATTTCTGATGCACTTCCTGTTAAGCCACAAAGCATTTAATGAACTTCACGGATGTTGCAGATGTTTGCAGACAAACTAATTCTAAAGACTATGCTAAAATTTCCAGTCTAAGACCTGGAAATGAACTTGATATGCTGCAACACACATGACAGCATTATTGTCTTCATTTTTCTAACTAAAAATAAGATGGCTAAAATGGCATACTGCTGGAGGAAAACCTTGAATAATACTACAAGGTAATGTGGGTTTTGGTTGCTGATAAATGAATCAATACACTTGTATGTCCATAATGAAATAAAATTGCTTTTAAAGCAATCTAGGTTAGCATAAAATTGAAAAGATTTGATTTCTAATATTTTCTGCTTTGAATCATTGTTTATATCATTATAGTTACAGAAATTAAAAACTGAATTTTTTTTTAATATCATTTTGGAGTAAGTCAAAGGTCTCAAAGTTTCTAGGGAAAAGGTCTATTCCACTCTTTTCTGTTTTGTATATATTCCACTAACTTAAATCACATTATTACAGCATTTTCAAAATATATCAGAAAAATAAAGATGCAGTTGATTACATTACTCAAGATCACCTTTACATTTTGAATTTGTTTTAAATTGTATTTAAAAGTGATTTACAAAACTAAATAATTTTATTTGTTCCGGAACAAACAGCTTTGTGCTCTTAGTACCTTTGAGTCTTCTGTACCATAAAATCCATGTTTTAAAATGTTCCAGTTGTGTTCCCAGAAGGCACTTGCTAACCCATTTGAATGCCAGTTGTTAGTGTTCATACCTCCTTTCTCATTAGTAAAACTTTCTTAAATGAGCTAATTGGCAATCTCAAGGCAATTTTTAAGACCCTACTGATGATATGCACTATTCTGGGATTTTCTTTAATAGTTTGTAATCAGGTCAAGAATTTGCATGTATTAGCTATATATTTGAATCCCTTAGAAAATATATCACAACTGCATCAACTGAGTGTTTATGGACCTATTGTAAAACATGCATGAAATTTTAGAGACCTTTAATGTAGGAACATAAAGACTGTCAGATCTGATTAGCCTTGGCATAACCTAGTTCCCCATGTAATACCGACAGTATAGTCTTGGAAGAAATAAGATAAGACACTTTAATTTATTCAATATTATTTTTATAGGGAAATTTATTGCAAAACCTTCTCTTGTCTTCTGCTTTGGCAGTGCATTTGGGACTTTCAAACATGCATGGAGATTTGTGATTTATAGTCACACAGAAGTTTTTGAAAGTTGCCTTAAAATTAAGTACATGCCTGAGTACTTAGTTTAATCAGAAGTGTGAAATGATTATTTTGTTGTCCTACCTTTTATCCTGTCAGATCTTGTAAATGTCTGTCTTTCTGGATCTCTGCAACCAGTTTCTGCTGCTCAAATCTGTCAAGGCAAAAAGTTCTGTTAACCAAATCTGTAATATCTGGACAACTATTTCTTATCAGTGAATTCATTTGGACTGTGTTGTCTTTTCATTTCGTTGATGGTTCTTGAGATGTTAAACCATGAAGTCTTTATAATTGCTGAATGGAACAGGTTACTTCATGTGGTTTCCTCTTATGTCACTTACAGAAATGGTCCTAGGCTTTTCAATATCTCAAATATTGTAGTAGATCTCTTTGTAATCAGTTCAGGCCACAGGCTCACTTAGCTTTAATAAAAGCATTTTTTGGCCTTCAGTCAGATCTTAGCACAAGATTGCATTTTCTCTCAAGTTACCTGGCAAACGTAGGAGAATGTCGGAAAAGTCAGCCAAGTCGTCTCCCTTCAATAGCCCCCTTCCAAATTTCTGCTTTCAGCTCTTCTCTGATTCCCACAAGTTTCAGTCATGGCTGAAAGGCTGTTGTGCTCTGACTGATGTTTATTGCCTTTGAAACCCTCCCTTGCTGTAGCCTCAAAATCATCCTGCCACTGTTTTGAACCACAGCAGCAATCTTTTGCCAAGATTTGATTGAAGGGCAAAAAATGCTTGCCATTTTTGAACTTTTCTAATGTAAAAATGTACTTGGATGAACGTGATACACTAAGGATGTTTTTACTTTCGCATGAACAACTGAGCAAAAACATGTTGTGGACACGCAACTTTACCACAACATCACTGCTTGAGTAGTACTAGCTACCCGAGACAACCGTGGGAAAACAAGGAATGAGTGTACGTTTTCAGTCAGTCTGTGAGGGTTAGTTGAGAACTGCTGGCTTCAAGTGCCAGACGAAGGGACAGTATATCCCGGCAGGTATGGATAGTTGTCCATCTGACCGAAGCGCAGACGCTGAAGAAGCAGGTCACTTCAAAATCTGTGTCGTTACACCTTTGCTATATCTCTTACTATTGGCTGCTGAGCACAGCGACCAGGGCTGGTCCAGCAGGCCCCAGCTCGTGTTGGGGATCCATCTGATAGCACGACGCAAGTATTCAGGTGTAAATCTTACCTTGCAAATGGGGACTGAAAGCGTGAATTCAGACATAATCGTGCAACTTCTCTTACTTCATGATGGACATTGTCAGGTCTCCTGTGCAAAATGAGCAACGCGCAGACACATTAGATGACCTGATCTACTTCCAATATTTTGAATGGAATAATTGCACAAAGCAGAAAAATAGCATGACTAGGCAAATACAACTTGATATCAGGCTCTAACAGCACTGTAATTACTGTATTAATAAATGAAACTGGCATGCCATTATTCGATCTGTTATTGATCTACCATGGGAGGAGCGCTTCTCTGGGATATGCAAGAAAACAACCAATGGCCAGATACACTATGAGAACAACATCTTCTAAACTTTTCTGGTTTAGATATAGCCTTCTTAAAAGACGTGGCTTGATGAAGCATGAAGTTCCTATATCACAATTTCGCAACCACTCCTGAAGAGTTTATGTACAGATATATTCTGTATCTTTCAGAGGAATGCTATATTTGGTTTTGTATAACCAGTAACAAGGGAAGAAATGGTTGCGTTGGCAAGATTACAGGGTATTTTGGATATTGAGTTATATGCTCTTTCTATTACATTTGCCTCCCCTTGCTTCTGAGCACACAGTGGTGAAAGCTCAACGCCTAGGGATGCCTTTGCCCAGCGCTACGCTGGAAGCAGTTTAATTCCAGGGAGTGCAGATCTCTGACAAAGTTGTGGCCAGTTACCAAACTGGCTATCTAAAACCAGCATCTTGCAAGCACTTCCCTCCCACTCCTGTCTTCTCTTCCTGTTCACTTTGCTGGGTGTTTGTTTCACTGGAGCATTATTCCACTTCTCGTTGCGCAGGATCAGCAACCAAAATCTCTGCTCCCCATCTGAGTGTGTGGGAGGTCCTATTATTTTTTGATAATAGCACCTATTTAGTTTTTATGAATTTGAATCATGTCAACTGAGGTTAAAAGGGTTCTGATACCTTCTTGGGATGTATTTCATCTGATAAGCTCCCACATATGATGTCCGTGTCTTTTACATAGCTTTATTTTCTTTAATAGTAAACAAAATTAATGATCTCTTAATAATGTTACTGATTTCTAGCACTTCCATATACATAGAAAGAATATCCTATAATAAAGTGGCATTTTGACAAACCTCATCATTTTAGAATAAAGGTAAGCATTGAAAACTGCTGCCTGTCATTTTTCTTGTTTTCTTTTTGTTTTACTGTTTTCTTGTTTCGTGTTTTCTAGGCAACCGATGAAGAACTCAGTATACAGAAGCAGGCAGTCTTTGAACAGTCCTAGCCCAGGAGAAACTGAGATGGATCTTCTAGTGACTCGAGAAAGACCTAGACGTGGAATCCGTAACAGTGGATATGACGTAAGTTTATCAGATATATGCAGTGAAATTTGCTCAGCAAAGTCTCAACTTACTCCTAAAACCAGGAGACTATTGATAAGCTACAAGCCGGAGTGCCACTGAGTATTTAATGTTACAGTACTTCATGTGCAGTCAGCATCCTGAAAAAAGCTCAGGGTACTCAGAGCACAGACTCTTTCACGTAGTTTACAGCTGTACCTCATTTTACAGTCTGAAATGCAAAGAAAACATTTGCCTTGAAACTCATTATTTGCCAAAGTGTTGAATTTTGAATTTAGATAGTTCTTCTAAGTATGTGGCCACTTTCTTGATACCGAGCTTTTTTTCATTGCAATTGAAATCCTCTGTTCTGATGCTGCTCTCTTGATTTAGAAGAATGAACAACCAACTTCTGGGAATTTCACTTGAGTCCAGATGTCAGTGTTTTGTGGAAATCCCCTAGAAAGAGATATTGTCCTCTTACTACATCAGAACTGGGAGAGTTTTCCATAGGTAAATGTCAAAACCAGCCAAAGGAGATGCTGGTTTATGGTCCGAGGAACTCATGGAGCCAACGCAAGGCAGATGAGTTGTCTTGTGCAGTCTGAACATACACTGGGCTCAAGTTGACACCGCGTGCACCCAGAATGAGGATAACAATAGCCCCCACACTGGAGTAGCGTAGAATTTTTCTATCCTTCGTCACGTGTACAAAATGCTGTAGCTCAGCCATCCCTGAAGATTAATCCCGAGAGAAAGTCTAAACCATTCTGGAAAAGTAAGAAAGTGCATTTGGTGGTTGCTCATCCTCTAAACTCTGTAGATGACAAGCATTTTGTGTGGGGTTTAACTGTCAACTCAGCTGCCAGGGATGCACTTTTAGCAAGGTGAAAGAATGTACCAAGGTCAGGGGATGCGTTCAGGGAAGTTTAAATCTTTTACAGAATTCTTAGGGGCATGCTGTCGGTGTCAGATTTCTTACATGATTTCCTGCATTTGGACACTTCCCATCAGATTGCTTGAGTCATGTTGTGCTGCGTAAGTGGGACAACTGGCTCGCTGCTTTCTGAGGCCTTAGAACACATTGCTGTAGCCTGGAAAAAGAAAGGTATAACCTGTTGAAACAGGTTTTACATTTTGCGAAAAAGATTCCACACCCCATCCCCCTACCTCACCCCCCAATGTTTCCTTTATTTTTGGAGCTTTCTTAGATAAAAACATTGTCGAGCCAGCCTACCCTCATTATCCTGAAAATCATATGTTTCGAGACAGCAAGGGATTTTTTTAATATGCTAATAAAAGCTAGTTTTTCATAGGTGATATTTTCCTGAAATGAATGTTGAAAACATTCTAGGACCAGGCATGGCCTCCTGCTATTAGTTGAAAATTAATATGCCATAAGTAGTTAGAAGATTTAAAAAATAGATTTTAAAATATTGTGTATGCTATATATAAAACGTATTTTTTAAAAAATTGTTAAAACCCTTGAAAATAGATTAATGAGCTTCTGAGATGTCCTAAAAGTAATTATAAACTCTGAGATCTGTGCACATCACACACAAGTTTCCTTTCACCTTTCTTTTAAGGTTGCAGTTGGGGGAGCTGTCCAGGGCACAGTCTTTTTTACTGATAAATTACATAAAATTCCTTTTGCCTGATGCGCTGCAGATTCACTGCAGTGCACCTCTTCTAACTCTGAATGTATTTCCCATCTGAAAGCGGAAGAATGCCGGGGAAAATGGGACAGGATGTTGAAATTTAGTTCCCAAGCCTCGGCTTGCAGCGTGGGCTGGTTTCCCTCGCTCCTGTTTGAGGTTCCCGAGAGCTGTGCCGAGCGTCTGACAGGCTTGGTCTCCCAGGATACCCATCGGCAGGCACTTATATCTATATTTATGTGTGGAATTCATATGGATCTCACCCGTGGTGCAACTAAACACCTCTGTAAATCTGACCTCAGAAAATGGGTGAAAAAGGGCTCTGAAAAAGGGCTGGTTTGTATGCTGAATCTTGTGTCCTTTCTTTTTTATCTAATAACATCTGGTACCACTTTTCGACATCCACTTTGTCGTTCTAAATGTTCCAGCCTTCTTGGACTCCTGCTAACCTCTTCCTCCCAGTATTTTATTTAGCAGCAAGTCCCGCCAAAGAATAGTGAAACTTCTGTTTTATAAGCAGTTCCAAATAATTACATTAATGAATCGAATAGCTCATGTTATCTTCAAGTCATTAGATTTTTTTTGCAGATTAACAAATTGCCCCCTTTTTTTTTTTTTTCTGAGCTGTTACCAGTATGCCTAGGTTATGTGTTGAGGTTTATCTTCCCAACAATGATAAATGTTTTCTTTTTTTTTTTCTTAACAAAAGAGGCTAAGATCCCCTAGATTCTTTAAGAAAACTCTTTAAGAACTATTAGACTCATATACACAACCAAATCATGAGAGTTTATGATCTGCATGATTTTGCTTTGTCCTTTAATAGGAGAGGGAAGTAAGAGCTCAGAAATCTGTCATTCCACACTACTGACTTTTTTATTTATGTGTTTTTGGTTCCACTTACATAACAAAGTTCTAATATCTCAATTATAGTTTTCTAAAAATATTTCATTCCCTATAATGATTTTTTTTGTGATATTTCTCTGAACCATGGTTCTGTTTCTCAGAGCTAAAAACTGGTCAGGATGTGAGGTCAATAGTTACATAGAATATGTAGCTTTTTGTATTATTTTGGAGTGTACATTCTACTGTTTGATGTTCTGAGTACATTATTTGCCTTTACAGCATCTTTTGTAAATGGATTATTATTGAATAGTACCTATCTTTCAATTTAAAATAATCTCAGTAGGGTTTACTATCATCACCTTCACCTAGGAAGTAGATTAAGGAGACTTTATGAACATGTTTGTTATTTCCAACATGTTCACAGACAATTGTGGGTAGAGCAAATGCTATAATGAAAGAGTCTAGAACCTCTAGACTGCTAATGAGCTTTATACTAGGGCAGAAAATATTTAGGCTGGTTTTGGTATAAAAGGAGGAAAATCACCTTATTGTACATATCTAAGATTGATATACAAAAGAATTTACTGGTATAATTTTACTGATATAGTTAAATTAATGCAACTCCTCAAAAAGCTTATGGATTAATGTTCACAAGAAGAATTTTACTACTATAGTTGCAGCAGCAGAGTTATGCCAGAGGTGTATAAAGTCTGTCTCTCAGTACAGGATTTTCTTTTCCTTCTTCATATAAGTCCAGTTCCTTGTATTATACAGTAACCGTGTATGAGCACTATCTGCATTTTTAGAATGGTAACACTAATGTATAATGGCATATATTTACCATACTTATGTGTTTCAGTTGATAGGAAAGCAAATGACATACATCAGAAAGTGATAGGATGAATTGAAATAAATTTTAAAACTTGAGGAAAAGTAATGGTCACCAGTCTCCTCCAAAATCTTCATGTCAACTTTTATATTGATAAATCAAAGCTGACTTAATGTTGACTGCTAATATGCACCCTTTACTCATATGATATATTTTAGACATTCTATAGAGGTCTAATGGCTTCACCAAGGTGTTGTAGTAGAGAACCTGATTTATTTCAGCACTGGGTACTGATAGGTCTCTTGTGCGATTCTGTTCACTGACATTTTTACAATAGAAGAAAGAACCATGGTTATTAATCATCCAGTTGGGGCAGTATGATTTCAGAGGCTCTTTGGTTGCACTTATACAAACTACCATTGCATTTTATAGTCAGGCTTCTAAAATTTACCTGATTTTTATAGTCAAGCTTCAAAAATTTACCTGATTCTTATTTATTGTAACAACACAAATAACAAAAGAATCAAAATGCAGGAAGAAAATTACAGGAAACTATTTAGTTGAAGATTTCCTACAAGTTTTTCAGTTTAAGATAACTTTGTGTCGTTACGTTGTTCCTCCCCCAGTCTGATGTGTGTACCACTTAAGAAGCCTGAAGTTGGGTTTGTGGTTTTGAATTTGAATAATATACCGTATAACTATAACTATATAAATTACAGTTAAATTTTAATATGCAAATGATTATTGTCTTAATTTTCCTTTTTCATTGCTGTGTTTTCATGAAGTACAAAATATAGCTATCCTTAAAACAGCTAAGAGAAAAAACAAATTAAGTTCATTTATTTAAATTTATTGTCAGTTTTCAGGCTAACCATGTAACTCTTCTCTGAACGGCTGATAACAGAAGAAGAAAGTCAGTTTGATTTTTTCCTCTGCAAATGAAGAAATATGTACTATGATTGTCCTATAGTACATATGACCATACATAGCTTGCAAAAGATTGGGGGCACAGTTGCTTGTCTAGTCAGGTATAGAAAAGCACTGTTACATGGGGAGAAAAAGTATGCCACACTAGGAGCTACAGAGCACTCCAATCATCAGGATAGTGCTGGAATTTTTAATAAGAACATCCTGTTGTATTCTTTTATTTGTGGCTATTTTAAATGCTAACACAGTTCTAACCATGTGCTATATATAGAAGGAGGTACATATCCTATTCTTCATTCCAGTTATCCTAGCATCTTAAATGCATTTTACTGATATTTAAAGAATGATAAGGAATTGGTTGCTTTTTCAGGTTGCCTGTTTAAAATGTATTTTTTAAAACTATAGGCAGTAAATCTAATCTTACAGAATATAGGTGAAGTTAGCTATTTCACTGTCAAGTTCTTACAATATGATGAATTTTTCTGTCTTGGAGTTACAGGCAAAAAAATCAGGGGGGTGATTTCTGTTTGTACTCTACGTGTGCAGAAGGAATTACCCTAGGAGTAACCCTTCAAGTTAAGCTGCACGAGTACTATCTGCTCGTCATAGTACATGTTTCATTGATGGTTCCCACATTAGTTTTGGGTAAATTTCTGTGTAACTACTGTTAGGTGACTAGGTTAGACAACCAAGCTATGTCAGGATATTTTCTGCAAGGGACAGGACCTAGTTGATGGCATCGTTGCTAGAGCTCCTCACTGGGTTAGAAAGCTCAGGAAAACCCCTAAACTTTAATTCTTCTGAAATCTTAACGTGTGAGAATGGACAAAAGAATTTCAGTCTCTGTAGCTGTAACAAGCAGTCCCTTGTAAGAGGTCCTTCATAGTGATGGTACTATTTAGGGAGCCATATTCCTCCTGGCACAGTCGTATTCCCATTGATACTCACAACTAAGAAAAGAATTTAAACATTAATTCTAATTGTTTTTAAGTGAATCATTGACAATTTAATCGGCTACAGAGTGTCCCTGCTAGTTTTCTTAGCAAACAATGTAGGATATAACAGGCTATTATAGTCGCCTGCATCATATGACTCCTTTCCAACATTTGTCTATATTGTCACAATTCCCGACTTTGTATGTGTTACATCTGTGTTTGAGAACATTTTGTGTGAAGCAGCACAAATACTGTCTTGTAAAGCTTTTTACATACACGTGCTTTTATTCCATCCAACAGACTGAGCCTGAAATTATAGAAGAAACAAATGTTGACCGCGTCAACGAGCCTCGGAGTTACGCCAGGTCCCGTCAGGCCAAAGGCCACTCGGAGACCTCAACCTTAAGTTCTCAGCCCTCTATTGATGAGGTTCGACAGCAGATGCATATGCTCTTGGAAGAGGCTTTCAGCCTGGCCTCTGCGGGCCACGGAGGACAGAGCAGGCAGGAGGCGTACAGCTCAGCACCGCACTTGCCCTACTCGGAGGTTGTGACCAGTGCTCCTGGTACCATGACCCGACCTAGAGGGGGGGTACAGTGGGTACCCACATACAGACCAGAAATGTATCAGTACAGTTTACCAAGACCAGTAAGTGAAACTTCTCTTTAGTATACTGTAAGATCATAAAGATATTTCCACTCTGAGACACACTTTTTAAAGAGGTAGCCCTGTTTACATGCTTAAAACCAGATGTAAACCCATGCTTACAGTGAGTAAGTATGGGTAGTGGGGTGTATGTATGTAAGCTTACCCATGCCCGTCTTTTGCAGGAAGACTCAGTATCTACATTAGCAGCAAGGTCGTCTTGTCTAAATTATGCTTGAAAGAATAGGCTGCACTAAGCTCCAGGCTGTTCACCAGATGAAGAACTTGTTTGCATGTCTTCTCCTATTCACTAAACACATATTAGGAAACAATCTGGTTTTGTAGAACAACTATGTAGGCAGCTGGGTGTGAATCACTCAACACTTCCGCATGAGGTCCATTACTGAAGAGAAGAGCATCATTGCAAGAGAGTGGACCAAGTGTAATAATCAGAGTGACCTGAAATGTGGGCTGTTATTGGCAATCTTGCAGTTACAGCTGTTGACTTGGGACTCTAGAGGTGGTTTAATTCCACGGGTTTCTTGGTTGACCTTGTGTAAGTCACTCTTTATCCTTCATTTTCTAGCCTCAAATTGTGGCTAACATGTCCTTACCTCGCAGAAGTAATAAATGAATTTAGAACTTAAATCCATGGGTGGAAGTTGTTAATGGAATTCTGTAGGTATCTAGACAGCAGTTGCAGTAGCACTGTGCACACCCTCAGTGTGTGTGAAACTACCCACAAATTCCCTCATTACGGTATTGCGAAACTCAACAATGTATTTTCTTCTTATATGTCAGGTACAAATCTAAACCAGAGAAGATTGCTTTCAGATGAGAAATAGCCCATCTATCAATAGCAGTGTGAAAAGTTGTTCATTTTAAGGCTTTTTTTGGTTGGAAATGAATATTTTTTTGAAAGAATGCATTTAAAATTAGGTCCCTTACTCTGGCTAGAATAAGAGGATAATGCAGAAAAACGTCTTCAGTTCAGAATAACTATTACTATGACTTCCTTCCATGACAATAAAAAAATACATTAAGGGATGCTGCTTCTGAACTATTCTGAACATATTTGAAAGCCAATGGCACTGCCTGCAAAGGTTCAGGCTGGTGCTATTTAAATCATGCTAAAGGTTATTTCTGGCACTTTGAAATTGGTCTGATGAACTTCATACAGCATATAATCATATTTTATGGTTAGAATTCGATTACAAGCTTAAGAGACAGCTAATGGGTAGTCAAATTACTTTGACACTTCAGAGAGTCTTTCTAAAATGAAATTAAAAATACTATATGGCAACAGGTTCTAAAAAAATGTAATAGCCATACTTTTTTGGTGAATGCTTCACTGTTTTGTTCTAAGACTTAATACTCTTGTAAATCTGCATGTTTCAGATCTTTAAGCATTTGCTTATCTTTCTGGCGTTTTGAAGATAGCGTTAAAAAATTTCCTAAAGATAGTCAATCGCCACAGATTAGGATCGGCACAGTCTGCTGGACTTTGGATAAGGGCTGTTAATTCATAGTTTTCTGTGTATCAGTTTCACGAATTGAAGCCGTACTTTAACCACACCATTTACTGGTTTGTTCTCAAATGGGGACAGAGGATTGGAATTGAAAATACCCAGCCGAGACGCGTGTGGGAAGTGACCTGTGGGTGGGAAAAACATGGAAGAATTACTGCTCTCAGCACCTTAGCGGCTGTCTGCCTGCCCGGGATACCTCCACTCAGCAGCTCCAGGGGAGATGCTGCGACGGGGAGTGCTCGGGAGTGGGTTGGCTGACACGTGGAGGAGGTATCCAGGCTCACCGAGCTGAGGGGGGAGTGAGCAGCCTCCGGCAGCTTTGGGGGTGAGACGTACCTGAGCACTGGGGTGTTTGTTCTACGGGGGAGGATGTTACCTCTGCAAACCAAGAATTCTTTATTTTTGCCCTTTCTTAAAATTCAGTTCTTAGTGGCAATTGCCACTAACAATGCTATTATAATTTGAAATCTGGGTTCAAGAGCATTTTGCCTGCTTAGATGGAACAAATGCAGCCACTGGCTTTACCATTGGGTCTTTAGATACAAGGCAAGTATAAAGGTCTTCAGTCCATCACTCTCTTCTGACATCTGGCTCTTTGCAGTCCAGTGACGCCAGACTAAACTTTTTACAAGATCCCACAAACTTTCCAGTAACTTGTGTGCACCTTTAGGTTTCATGAAACCCAATGCAAAGGTATTTCATAGGTGATAAAAGTGATACACAAGATTTCTAGCACAGACGTGCTCTACCTTTATAAAGCGCAAATGGTAAGCGGATTGAGGCAAAACAGCAAAAATCTGCATGCAAATCTCTATCTCAGTGTTTGCCTCTGTTCCTAAGTATTTGTACTGTAGACTTTCAGGGGACCAGAACCACTCTTCAGGCCTACATTTCTTCTGGTCTCCTCCAAGTTATGGATCTTTGATTTTTTGCAGTCAACTTCTTGACTAGTTCCACCATCAAACTGTACTGTATCTCTCCAGAGTGTGCATGCATCTTCTTCCTTTTTCTTTTTCTTTTTCTTTTCCCTTTTGAGGCCTTCTGTGGCTTTTTACATGCTAAGGTAATACCTACATTACCTGTAGCTCTTGTGAGGGAATGCCTGTTTGCCAAACTGCCCATGGGTGACCTGTGATAACAGGATTCCTTCTTATGGGGCTCGTGCCTTCTCCTGTCAGAGAAAAGCTAGCAAAATGCAAACTCTTAGTGTTGTTCTGGAGCCTCCAAAAAAGGGATGAGCAACACTTGGCTGGGTCCTTGTCATCCAGCTGGTATACTACAGCTGGAGGACGGAGTTACAGCATTGAGTGTATAACACAAGCCCGACTGCCAGCGTTGTGCCTTGGCAGATCACGTTACTGCTTTGGAAATTCTCACGGCTGAGTCAAGTGGAGAGCTATGGCCAGGTAAAAAAAAAAAACCCTCTTCATTACAAAGCTGGACCAGTTCCCATCTCTCCTCTTTAGTGCTCTGGAAAGAGGAGTGAGAGTAGCAGAGCTCTGGGTCCCAAGGTGAGACCTAGCACTGTACAACAGGCACTGGTGGACAAACTTGCAGGCTGAGTGACTGGTAATGTATCCAAGTCCTCAGAGCTTCACTTCATTTAACAGAGGTAAAGTGAGAGTATTTTGCCAAAGTTCAGCCACTTTCAATAACAGTTACCAAACTAAGTATAAAACAGCAAAGCAAAACCAAATCCAACTGAAATCAATAATTTTGCATTATTTCTGGATTGCAATTTAATAATCAAATTAGTTAAAGCATTCAATGAGTAAACAAAGACATTGCCCTTTTCATTCCTATGGTGAGATGTAAGGAGAAGGATATTTCTGTAATTAGAAAGTAATAGTGAATAATTTCACCTAAGACATATCTGTAAGTTGGAGGTGGTAAAAATATTTTAATACTGCAACCAAGGAAATGTAGCCTTAAAGCTAACTGCAAAGTTTCTCCTTTAGACTTTAGTTATTGTGTGCTGATTTAACTTTTCTTTCCTGCATCCTGACAGGCAGTAGCTTAGACTTTTGTGGGTTGTAGAAGACACTAGTGCAGGTGTCTGCTGGTGGCTGGACTTTATCTTCCAGAGGGTTGTGTTGTATGTCTCCTGGGCCCAAAGGCTGAAATTGCTCTGCTAAACTGCACTTAACTACTTTTAAAAATTCTTCACTCATTTGCTTTTTAAATTATCAGTGTTTTTAGCCACAACAGACTCCTTCACGGGTATTTCTTCCTGAGAGGGTGGTGTGGGGTCTGCAGTCTGGTATCTGTGCAGTCTGTCCTGAATCTCAAATTTGATTACTTCTGTCAGTGATAGTTGTAACCTTTGTATTGTACAAGTTCTCATTTTTCAACAAAATAGAGTTTGGAATCCATGCAGAATGTTTTTAAGTTGTTTTGGTTTGGGGTTTGTTTTTTTTTGGTGAACAACAAAAGTGATGCAACACTTTTTTTTAAAGGATAAACTAATTTTGAAGAATAAAATTAGGCAAATCTGTGAAATCAGCTGTTGGGGTTTTTTTTCTGATTGGATTTACAATAGTGTACAAATTTCACTGAAGTGACTTTATTTCTACGATCATCCCAGTTAGCCTAGAACCTAAAGGCTCTTCTAAATCTATAACAGACAGGCCTCTCTAGTGAAATTTTGGTTTAATTTAGCCTCTGAACATTTTTTTCCATTTATGTGTTGCATGCAGGAAAACACTAATGCCCCAACCCCTTGGAGAAATTCTAGAAATTTTATTGGAGTTCCCTCTCGTAACTATTTTGGTGTCTGTGGAAGCTCAGCACAAAGAGGACTGACTGCTGTCCCGATGACGGATTATTCCTCAGCATGGTGTAGCAGATCTTCTAACAGGATTTTTCACCTTAACAGGAAACCCTCTGCCCAGCCATTCGCAAAATATTGCCACTCACTCAAAATTGTTCCTCTCCTATGTAAGCAGCAAAAGAAGTGCTTCAATTTTCTGTTTTACTTTTTTCCCCAAAATTTTCAGTGCAAGTTGCAGCACATTTGTGAACTGTTCTTTGTGATCCCTTAAAATGCCTCCTTTGATGTCCATATTCTAAAGCATATCCACTAACACACAAGAGAAAACCCAAATCTACCTCTGTGCCTCTGTCTACCCTGTTATACTCAAAGAGTATCTGGAGTCACCGGCCACTCTGAAACATTAGCTAATGTACTGTTCCTTTAAAGTTGGGGGGGGGGGGAAGAATTTCATACTTGGTACAAATGTATGCTGAGAGCAAGATGTGGGATGAAAGGCTTGTGGAGCCAGAAGGAAGTGTTCGGTTCAGGCTGTGAGAGCACTGCCAGCTTTTCAGATGCAGAAGAGGCATTGCAGATCATTTCAAGTCCAGCACTATTAGGGGAAATCTAATTGAGCTTTTCTTTGATGCAAATAGCATTTGTTTTTTCTATACAGTTCTTTTTCATTAAAAAAATCAGTATTTCCAACCCCTGGCGAGGAAATGTACCGTTGCCTTTTTAGATTTATTTTTTTCCAGCTAAATATAGAAATACTTTAAATACCATTATAGCATGGTGAAAGTAAATATTAGGAGACTTTGTAGGTGGCGTGAAGGGAAAAATGATTTTCACAGACATGCCTTTGAGGGACTCTACCCTGCTTTAAAAGGGGTGGCAGTGAGAGGCAGGAGAAAAATGCTTGGTCTGTATTGCATTTCCCTTAGAGACACTGACATCAAAAGTCAGTATTTGGTAAGTTACCCTTCCTCTGTGTTAACCCAGTTTTGCAGCTATTTGAGAAAGAAGGTATCGGAACACTGTCTTAAATGTGTAATTTTTAAAGATGATTACTGAAAGATAGTGGGTTTTGGTATTTGGTGTGGGATTTATATTGCCAAATTCAAACTCAAATGTAGGTGTTAAGTCTGAGCTAATCATGTAAATCCTGTAGGCTCTTTCTACAGGCAGGAGAGAGAGTGTGACTCATCCCACGGTAATGTGTTTTTAGCTTTCTCTGCTGTTTGTGGAGGGAGCTTCTCTGGCTAAACCAGATACCTCTTGTTTAGAGGGCCAAAGTCCCACCATTGGACTGGGGACTCTAGTTTTTGTCAAAATGCCTATGTCTTGATGCTGGACAGCCTCCCCATAATCTGTTATTTGCTATTGCTCTGATCTTATCTTTAATCCTGTGCATTGCTCTGAAGCATGGTCAATAAAAGCATAATTTAAAAAAAAAACAAACCCAAACCCACAATTTGTTTAAGAAAAGTGTCAATGAAGTGCTAGAGAGATATCATCCCTCTGTCTTTAAGTACATTTAGCAAAATTATGACCTCTAATCTATAGCAGTACAAGGAATTTAGAAGAGCAATTTTGTCCTACATGTTATTTCTTGGGTGCCATGGGTTTCATGTACGTGATTACTCATCCTTCACATGTATTAGTGATGAAATCCAGAATTACTATGGGCAAGACGCTTAATTTTGTGACTTAATGGGTTGGTTCTGTGTTCCTCTGAATTAGTCTGCTTTTTCAGAACTGTTTGAGACCTTCGTTATTGCTTTAGAAAGTTACAGAGCTTGGGGTTTTTGTGAAGAATTTTCTTTTCATCTCTTCAAGGCTGAAAGGAAGAGGTTGAAATATGCATTGCTCACAGGCAGCTTCACTTCACAAGATGCTGCTCTGAGGATGCTTTCTGAATCTTTAAAAGACTGTTTCTGGAGGAAGTGAAAATACTGAGATCTTTTTCCTGTGGGTCCAAAGCAGCTGTTGAGTCTCACATAATCATAACGGATCTGCTTTGCCAGCAAGGTTACGCATGTCACAGAGACAGTGTTTAATACATTTTATTTTAATTAGACTTCATCTTGGCTCTGAACTCATTTGTTTATGTTTTCTTCCACATCCTAAAATCACCCAAGCACTGTAAATTCTCAAATAAAATGCAGTTGCTATTGATGCCACAAAAAGTTAACTTCCTGTTGGCCAGCACGTGAAGCAGGTATTTAATTTCTGACTTTCTTCTGGTTTTTTAATTTGACTGAGATCTATTGGTGTTTCAGAAAATATTTATTTTTCCCCTTTTACAGGCTTACAGATTTTCTCAGCTTCCTGAGATGGTAATGGGTTCTCCTCCTCCTCCTGTCCCTCCCAGAACAGGTCCTGTGGCTGTTGCCTCTCTCCGGAGGTATTTATCTGTTGTTTTATTTTAGGTATGATCTCTAAAAAAACACTGTTGTAATAAGAACTGGGGCAAACCCTGAAGGGGCACTTACAAGGCACTTATAAAGACACATTCATGAAATTAGAAACATGTTTTTATTTCATTTTAACACAAAGAGGAAAGGAATAACAATGAATTTTCTCTTCTATTAGCTAATCAGTTTCAATAAAATTAGGAAATCCAGGCTCCGATTTCTTTTAAAACATGCTTTGCCTCCACTCGCGTAATGGCGTATTGTATTGCAGATGTGTGGTAGATAATTTGCACTGTCATTCTCCCTGCTTTTCTCTATTGTGAGGTCTTGCAACAGGATATGGATGAATTGTAAGATGTTTCTCAGTACACCGGGTCCAGGGATTTCTGCCTAGCTTTCAAATATCTCATACCTGCATTTCTGAAGCCAAATATGTGCTAAAGCCTGATTGCCTTAGCTCAGTGCATACATTTTGCCTCTTCCTCACAGCAAGGCACTCTACAAAATGCATTTCAAGGAATTTTTACACCTCTGTGGTGGATGAACTTATTTAGCCTTCAGTGCTGTGCTGTTAGGTACTGCCCGGTGCCAACTGCAATTCAAGGCACCGCAGGCCTGCTGAGAATTGCTGTGGAGCGCTAAGGCCAAAGGAAACTTTTCTGAATGGCTGCTAATGATATCGTAACTGCGTCCAAAGACTCAGGATACAGACGCTGTCTGTTGACGTATTCTTGTTCATCCATTACGTTTTAGCTCTAAAGCAACCGGGATGCACCATTTCAAAAGATGTTAGTACTTCCCAAGTGCAGTTAATGTTAATTACCACAGTAGTCCCCTACTATATGATGCCATATCATATATACTGTAGTAATATGGTATTGTCTGCGGTCTTGTGTCAATGAATTTATGGTAAAGCTCTGGTTTTTGTGTTGCATGTCACAAGCATTTGTTTGAAGCGGCAAGCAAAGGCTCTGTGTAATGGTAATAACATGCTTTGTCAAAGCAGCAACCAGGCTAAAGAAGTTGTTCTCAGACTTCTCCAGACTTACTGTTCTCCAAACTTCTGTCATGCCAGAGCAAAATCAGATAGCTCATTCCTAGCTGGCTTGTCATACTGTAGCTGATAGGCATGTATGTGGCTATGAACCTCATCTGTCAGTCAGAATGACAAAAGTTTCTATTTTTTGCTTTCTTAATGCACAGGTCTACATCAGATATTGGCAGCAAAGTGAGAATACCTGAGTCCAGTGGGGCAGATCAGGCCCAGCATCATGATCAGGCATCTTTTGCACCTGGTTCGAGAGCTCCGATGTCTGTTGGTCCACTTGATCAATCAGCTTTTCACTCAGGTGAAAAAATAGTGCAGACCCAACTTGCAGCTTTGAGACCCTTACAATTTATTTTGCATAGAAATGAATGTATGGGATATAGCAAATACAGATGATTATTTGGAGAAAGACTCTATTAGGTGTTTTTTTTCTGGTGCAACTGAAGGAGACCTACAAAGCATTGCTCCTTTGTAAATGCAGCATCAGCTGCGTTGTAAAATACTACTCATCCTGCAGAAGCACCGGGAAATGGTCATTTCTGAAGGTGAGATCCAGCAATGTACCAGATGGTCTTTGTTCAAGTATGGCATTCTGCTGGCTCACTGATAAGGACTACGAATTATTAAAGCCCAGTAAAACAGTTCGTCTGTACCACAAAATCCAGCGGTATTTTTAGGGCTGGTACAGAGGCTGTTGGCTGACAAAAGCAGAAGTTGCAGCGTTGGGACTGATGTGTGACTCGCGTGTTGTGTTGCACCATGTACAGAAACAACCAAAGTGGGAGAGATGGGTAACGGGGTTCTGAGGGACATGGAGAAATTCCATAATTTTATCAGTCAAGAATATCAGGCCAAGTGCTTGAGAACAGAGTAAGTATACAATGGAGCTGTAAGTAGTAGTGCAGAAGGAGGCTTAATGGCATTCAGCTCTGCTTGGTTTGTAAGGAAAGGGAGGAAAAACAAGTGGACATAAAGAATAGCGTGTGCAAGACTGAAGTTTTCCAACCTGGCTGTGGGATGAGTATTATGACTCCCTATTTCCTCTTGAGAAACTTAACCCCTAGACTTGTCACACCAGTGGGCTGCTGAGGGGGCTAAGTTGCACATATGTGCCCCCTTCCCTTCAGAACACAAGACAGCAGCGCTTTTGCATAGTCAAAAGTAATCCGTTAGCTCATCTCCCCTCCTATTTTGGAGAGGGTAGTTCCTGCTCAAGTGCAGAACTTGTTTTGGGTCTCAATGTCCCAGTTTTAAAGGTCTAGTGAGTTCCTGGACCTTTGATAGGAATTTTGTTTATGAATGAATTGATTTAATTATGAGATTAAGCTGATACACTGTTTTGATGGATAACATGTAGCTGGGAAAATATTTGAAATAGCTTCTCATTGGCAAAGTATGTTTTCTTGAAGAGCTACAGAAAAGAGCTTAAAAGATTAAAAAAATTTTTCATTGTCAGTTCAAAGTTTTGAAATTAGTAGGTTTATTAGACATTGCTCTGCTAATCTGCCAGAAGAATTTCTTTCTTAGCTTCCTCAGAAGTAATAGACAATTATCTGCATTGTATTCAACATGTTCTACTGAGAATAATAATGTGAATATGCAAATCTGTTGTCAGTTAATTAAATATAGTAGTTTTGAAGGATCCATTCTACTCTCACTTCTTGTCATATCTTCTGCAAACGGTGCATGTGAATCTGAAAAGAGCAGATGCTCAGCCTTTCATTTTAAAGCATTTAAAGCTGTAAAATGTGCCACACTACCACGACGTCTTTCTTCATGTCTGCAGTAATGTGTTCTGTGTGATATACTTTTTTAATAATTTCCAGTGATGTGGAGATTTTATTGCTGTATGTTAAAAATGGGTATGTTGTGTTACTGCTGAAGAGTGGCTGCATTTCAGAAGAGAGAAAGTGACCTTCGTGTACATTGTGGAGTTTGCCAGAATAATTCTGGGGGTAGCTGGAGGAAACTTTTGCATATGATAGATGCTACAAATGGCTGTGATACAGGGAAAGACATGGAGAGCTGAAAACCCTGCAACTGTCATACAAGGATTTCTAATGTTCTGATAGGGGAATAAATTTTTATTGCCTCAATACTTGAAGAAATGTTGCTGCAGGTGCTGATTTAGCATGAAATGGCCTAACGTTGCTCTCATGCAGCCCATCAACACCAGCTCTAAGATAATGATGGTGCAATAAGAATTGGGATAAGGTAGTACATCATATTATTGAGTGTTCATTTTGAATAGTAGCTCATTTTGGTGTGGTTAAATTCAAAGACCATTTTGGTGTAGAAGCCCTGTGTCATCTACAGGAGCAGCACTTTCTTCTCTGTACATATCTGAAGAATTGTTATTTCCAGCCTTGCTAACTCATTGAAAATAGCAAATCTTGTGCTGTCTGTGACCTCAGAAGAACAAAGATCGCCCACACTTCTTCTCTTAGCCTACCTCCTTCCAAACCAAAGGGCTGGAGGAATTGGGATAGAGGTCCTGTGAGAGAACCTGTGGCTACCTGCCATGCAGATGTGCATCCTAGATCCCACTGGTCCATAGGAATTCCATGGTGACTGCTTCTCTGATGGCTGAGTGACTCCAGCATCCTCCCTGACATAGGTGAAAAGGCACTACAACCCACTGTCAAAATGAAAGCTAGGACTTAATCCCTAACAGTAGAAAACACTGTGTAAATGTCAAGCATAACATAGAAGTTTTTAGTCCATATGACATATCCTTCATTTTTCTTCCAATTTTTTCCTGGTTTTGTTTTTGGGGTGGGGCTTTTTTGGGGTTTGTTTTTTTTTTTTGTGGGTTTTTTTGGAGACAGTGTTGAAAGAGATGATACGTTTCTGCTCTGGAGAGAATTGTGCCACAAAATATATTTTTCTCCTCTTTGCAAGTCCTGATTGCATCCATAGCCCCTCTGGCATAGGACTGCATGGGAGGTCATTGAGGACTTATAAATCACTGTTTTCATGGAGACTGCTTTGGGGATGGGTGTCGCTGTTTGAGTCTATCTCTGTGCATGTGCTCGTCCAGTGTTCCCAGCATCTATCAGAGTAGGCAGCATAACCCTCTTGCAGAGTGTTCAGGAGCAAGGATGTACAAGGGCTGTAAATGACATTCTGGGGGGCAGATATTTGAACCAGCCAGTTAGTGATGCTGATTTCTGTCAGTTACTCTCTGTATGAAGTTCAGGGGAATGCCCATGTCTTGCCATTTTGTTGGCATCTCTTATGCAGTAGCATCGTATCTACTGAGGGCAGTTAGTGGCAATATTAAAATGATGTGCAGTTGGAAGGAAGAATTAGTTTATTTTCTCCGCATTGGTTCTAGTACAGAGCCGGTGCCTATCTATCCAACGTTACTGTACTTCCATTCCTCAGGGAAAATGCTTGAGTTGTGCTTTGTGTTCTTATGGGGATTACTGGCTCTTCTGCTTTCACATAAATGGTGTTATTTTTGCTATATTCTGTGAATCTGAAAAGTATATATCCATGTACTATAACTGAATACTCAAAACACACCATCCACATGCTTTGTTTACTACCTGATATAGATGATACAGAGCTTTCCCACCCAGGATTTAGGAAGAAGGATTTTGTGACATTAGTGTAACTGTGGTAAACGGCTGGGTGTCTTCCTTCACATGTAAATAGACACTAGAGGAAGGAAGTTTTATTGGACAAGCAAGTTGTTTGTATTTGTTCTAAACTTGGCAAATACATGGAGTTATGATGGCTTCTCTCAAGGGAAATAGTGGGAGCATGTGAGAAGATGCTGGTCTTCCAGTCAGCCTAGTTATATCCTATGGGTAATCTGAGTAATTGCAGCAAGAACCACATCATTCTCTGCATCTCTGTGAGCCCCAGTTATAAACCCTACCTGAAAGAGCAGATGTAGCCATATCCAGACATTTGGCTTGAACCTCATACTAGGAAGGCTGGTTTCTCCCACCCAATTTGGAGTATGACAGTGGAATTTTAGTAGAAGGCTTCCTGGACATCCCTATGCATACGTCTTGATCAAGCCGTGATAAAACAGATTTGGTGTCAGCAAGTTTCCTTGGAAATATTTGTCATAGCTGCATAACTTATTGCAGTCATAGACTGTTCCTGGAAAAGGAATTGAGCAGGCCTTTTAAATGGATCGCTCACTCATTTTTGTACATTTTGTGCCTAGAGATATTAAGGCAGTTTTACCACGTAAACTGAATGCTCTATAACCTGCTATTGAAAAGAAAGGTGCGCTACTCTGAAACCGCATGATAACAACAGCTACAAATTGAATACAAGGGAGCAAATGTAAGGGGAAAAAAAGCCTTTTTTTTTCTAATGATTCAAAGTTTTGATGAAGATCAGTTGTTAGAAGGATCAAGTCCTAAGGACTAAGTCCTTGTATCTTTATCTGAAGGCTGTGCATGATTATATAGACAACTGCAAATCTTGCCTTCTCCAGTATTTCCCAGCATTATAGAGATGTTCTAGTCAGATGGTGGGAGCTTTACATGCAACCGATGGTGATCACATTCTCACCAATTAAAAAAAACCAAACAGAACAACAAAAAAACCCCAAACTGAGGCCAGTTACTTCATAAACATTATCTTCTAATTTATAACTGAAAATGTCAACTATTAATTATATCTACTCTCTTTCTTAATAGGAAATACTGTACCAGCAGTGTTTGCCATACCAGCAGCAAACCGACCTGGCTTCACAGGCTATTTTATCCCAACACCACCTACTGCATACAGGAACCAAGCCTGGATGCCCTATGCTGGAGAGAATGAATTACCAGGGCAATGGGCAGACTCGGTAAGCATTCTTGCTTTTCTAACTACATATATTTACTGTGATTTGCAGAGGAGAGGTTTTAAACAATGCTAAGTGATGAGCAAAGAATCTGAGCTAGATAATTCTTCCTTGAATGGTAATAATCTCTAATAGTGAAAAGTTATGAGAAGGGGCATAGATACTTTAGCTGTCCCTCCCATGAACTGTAAGTAAGGTCTTTTAGAGAGTTAAATAATTCACTAGGTTAGGGGCTGGCACCCATTCAAAGTTGGTGGGTTAGGTACCATTTTTCTTTCCCAAGACAGAGGATAAATATTTGGATAGGCATATGGCAGGAGTAGGTGACGCTGCCTCTCAGGGTGGCCTTGTGCTGTTTGGAGGCTGGGGAGCATCCTTCCCTCCTGGAAGCTTCTCTCAAGGCAGCCCAGCTCCCAAATCCTAGCTCCCGGCTCTGCTGCAGCCCCGCTGCGCAGTGTTTCAAGTCCTCCTGCAGACTGCAGTGACAGATCATAAATTAAATAATTAATTCTACAATCCTAGTCTGGGACAGATGTAATTTTTAGCCCAAAGTATACCTATATTTCAAAGAAATAAAGTTGAGACATCCTAAAATGAATTGCAGTAGTTTATCATGTTTGAAACAATTTCTAAAATTTAGGGTTTTTTTTCCACTAGGAAAAAAAAGATCAGTTCCGCTGCTTGACCTCGCATCTGGTATTTATCCAGAACCAATTCAGCTAAACAAACTGGGAGATAGATTCTATTTCCTTGTGCATATCATCAACAGAATATTTTAGTGAACTGTAGTTGGAGTTTAATAGTTGGCTTTGAGCAGCTAAGCAAGAGACAGCACAGGCATATAAAAGTTCCCGGGGGCGGCTATTTGTTGCCAAATCTTTATTACTGCTCCTGTTGCCTGTGAGAAAAAGAATTCATTCTGACTGTCAGATGCAAGTCTGAATTTGTAGGCTGAACTGTCAAGAAAAAAGAAGTATGTTCACCTGTAAGCTGAGCACAGCTGCTGATGTGCCCCTGACACCTGGAGGCTTTTGATGCCGTCGTAGATTCCCTTCCCAGAGCTGCCCTTTAAAGCATGGAAACCCTTTTTCTTTTCATTGTTTTATTTATTTGGTTTGTTGGTTTGGGGGTTTTTTTGGTTATTTTTAACCCTACTGACATTTTAAATCCAGGAGGCCTGTTGTGTCTAAGCAATCATTTTAAATGTTTTCTTTAAGAAGAAGAAAAAAAAACCAACCAAAACCCAGGAAAAGTATTTTACCTGTCTCACGTTCTTTTTCCTTTTCTATCCCTACTCCTTGGCTGCAGTCCCATGAAAAAAGAGTCAGATATCACTTGTCAAAAGGGGAGACTGAAAACAAACTGGACAAAAGTGGAACACAAGTCTCCGGCCCCTGGTTCCTTCCCCTGGAAGGAGAAGAGTATAACCCTGATGTGGGTTTCCCTGTCTTCAGGGAATGAGGTGGGAAGAGCAGTTAGTGCTGGTGGACTGTACACAGAGGAGTGGAGAGATTGTGAGAAAAATAACTGTGGCAATGTAGAATTCAAAGGAAACAAATAATCCTTTTAACTTCACTTACCTATTACAGAGCTTTAACAACTTCTTGTTACTCAGACTTTCAGCCCTCCTGTGACTTTTCAGAAGAGGAAAAAATGTAAACCCCAAACACTTCACTTTCTACAATGAATTTGTACCTCCCAATGACTGCAAATCTGTCAAGAAATTGTCTTTATTTGAAAATCATTACTAGGCGAACTAGTAATAGTGTTAGCAACATAAAACGGTCAGAAAGGCTGAATAAAACTGCAAAAGATAAAGATCTAAAGTAATACTCAGAGTTTGAGTTTCTGGATGTTTTGTCATTTCTGAGCCTCTAGATTATAGCTCGATCATGGTTCCAAGGTTTTCTTGACAATTAGTAAGAACAGAGGCTTAATATCTATAAGGTGAAAATCAAAATTCTTTACTTTTCATGCATTTCCACTAGCTGGACTGTAAACAAAGGGACATAGGAAACAGGGGATTTGACAACAAAGAATTATCTTATAAGCTCAATTTACTGTAATGTACTATTTTCTCAATTAAAAGGTAAGTATTCAGGCACTAAGTTTGGTGGGATAAGAGAACTGTATCTGACAAAACATTTATTTTCCAAATTGCTAGGTGCTGCTTAGTCACAGTAGTAACCTAGTGGCCTCTAGTGGCGTGTTCAAGTGTTGTACTACTAAAATATTTGTCTTTTGAATAATCTGTTGTAAACTAAACAGATGCAACTGCATTTAATGATCACTTTCATATCATGCCTTCTTCCTATGTTTGTCTCATCACACCATACTGAACGTGTTTGACGTTCTCTTCATCGATTGATGGATATCCAAGATTGTATAGAGCATGTGTAAATCCTAGTGGTCAGGTTTTCATAGGTTCTTAGATGCCTGAAGTGGCAAAACTTTCAAAAGCAAGGGTTTGTTAAACTCCCACAGGGCCAGAGCCAAAACGGGATTTAAGCAAAATTCCAAAGCTGAAGTCTTTCAAAGAAGTTCCAAAATTCCATTCTGAAGTCCATGCTGAGGTCCCATATTCCCCAGAAGGTATATAAAATTGGCAGATGTTTCAGATCTTGACGTTTCAGTCTGCTTGCAGACACCTAAAATTCTGAAGTTCTGCTTCTGGCATACCCACCAAAGCCTTAGCCCTGGAGGGTGAAGCAGCTTACACCTCAGCCTGACTGAAAGCCAAAAATTAGCTGGGACGTCTGCCTGGCCACCTGTATTATACGCTTATATAAAACCTTAACGTATTTGGAAAGTAAAAAGGTGGTTTTCCCATTTAAAGCAAAAAGAATTACAAAATTAACTTTTTAGTGATTGAACATTGTGGAAATGTATCAGTTAACTTACAAGTGTAGTATTCTGAGTACAGTGTACGTAAGTGTAGTTTTCTGAGTCACACAAAAAAACATCACTGAACTTTCTGAACATTCCTTGCTTGTCATTGACATGGACTATAATGATCAGCTGGTAAGCTTTTTCTCAAGGAGAAATTATCTTGTCCTAGTAATAGGTTATGGGTTGCCTTCTGTAACAACGTAAGGCCTTCTTCAAAATGAAGGACTGTAGATTCCTGTTTATAGATTTTTGCAAAATGTAAACAAATACTATTTTTATTTGATGCATTAGGAACTTCTGAGGACTACAAAGACTGGTATCGTGGTTCATGGCTTTGTGAAGGAAATTTAATATCTCATAGTAACTAAAGGGCCTATGTTGTTATTTTAGTTTTAGCCAGTGTAACGTGAGGCTGAAATCAGTGAATTTACAACAGAGTAAAATCGTGAATCCCCCATGTCATTCTGTTAAATGTGGCCAGAAATCCTGATACTTCTGAGAATTCAGTGTTGAGTTTCCAGGTTGGCATACCTGAGCTTATCCCTGTTGTCTGGATCTAGTGAGTTTTTGTTAGGAACAGTAAGTCCAGAGAGTTGGCTGACTTGGACTAGACAGTGGCTGCAAATCAGCAAACTCTACTTTTCTGTTCTAGGCTTTTTGGTGTCCCGACACGTAGTGGTGCCATCTATTTAAAACTGAAATGTTTAGGAGGGATAGTAAGCAGAGGAGACACTTTCAGAAAAGCCTTCTCCCTTTGACTTTTTGCAGTGATGATAAATTAGGACATGCAATGTTTGCCCTTCTAGGTGTTTTTGCTGCCACAGTCTGGGGAGTTGAGTAACCCGTACATTGACATATGTGTATAAATGGCACATGCCAAGATAGACACTTGTAAACAGACGCTTAGGAGTATGAGGTTTACGTTCTCTTCATATAGTCCTATCTGTTAGTCCTATCTTATTCTGCCCTGGGGAGGTTTGTGTTACCTGGCAGGTGGCACTATGGATCAGTTGTCCTGTATAATTTTGTATAATTACAATGCTCTACAGGTACCACTACCTGGATACATCGAGGCTTATCCACGGCCCCGCTACCAACATAATTCTCCTTCACGACTTCCTCGCCAATACAGTCAGCAAGCAAGCATGCATCCCAGCCTGGAACAAGCTCCCTTGCCGTCCACCGCAGCTTCTCAGCAGAGCCTGACGGAAAATGACCCGTCTGATGCTCCGCTCACCAACATTTCTACAGCTGCCCTCGTAAAGGCAATAAGGGAAGAAGTTGCTAAACTGGCCAAGAAGCAAACAGATATGTTTGAGTTCCAGGTCTAATATCTTTTGTGCACAGCATTTGTATCATGCAACCTGGGGTAGCCAAGAAAGCGACTCCTTTAATTTTCAGTTACAAACTTGCTGCGAATTGTGCCAAGTGATGGCATCTTTCTCTGTCTGAAAAGTCAACGCTATGAAATGACTTAAAGTAGAGCAACAGGTCTCTGAAGATACATAATTCTGCTTGCCAGCTAAGGAAACGCTGCCAGGTAAATGTTTAATATGGATAAGGACTGATCATACGCAACTGTCACTTAGCTCTCGTATTATGACCCGTTGTCACTAGAGATGCTGCTGAACATGTCTGTGCCACACAATGTTTCATTTGCGGGTCCAAAGGCAGAGCTGCTGAAAATAACTTCTGCATGTCAAAACTTTGATTAAAGAAGAAAATACAGTAGAACACAGTTAGCTAAAGGCCACGGTAGGTGTGGTGGTGGCCATGTTAATTGTTTGCTGCAGGACGTTGTATAAGGGATGCTGATTTCAGCAATGCGGAGTCATTCAGCCTTTTCATTCTAGAGACTGTATTCAAACCAAAAAAATTTGAGATGAGTAAGTAATACAAATAAATGTCCTGTAAATAGCCCCAATTCTTCTCATCCTATTGACAGTACAAAGAAGTGAAAGAAGAGAAGACTGTGAAGAAAGTGAATGATATTTTGATAATTGGTGGCTACCTTGTCCCTCAATGCCACCGATGAGTTATAGAGGAGATTTTTTTTGGTGGGAGAGAATACAATGCACGAAGAGCCAACAAAGGGTATTGGTGCTAGAAGCTTCCAGGAGAAAGAAAAAAGGTTATTCGTGTTTGCTCTATATTCAGGCTTTTCACTCTGAATGCATGTGAAGCTGGTGAACCTGAGACCTCTGAGCAAGTCTTTCCAACCTGGAATAATGAATACATCTGCTTGGACAAGAAAACCTCTGTTTAACACAGTGCTTTTTTCTCTTTCTTAAACAATGATATCTACTAAAGTGATGACAGAAAGTGTTACCTGAAGCTGCAGTTGATTTTGATTACACTGGAACCGTGAATGCAAACCTAGGAAGTTCTGAATGTAGAGGACCTGAGTATTATATTAACATGTAAATAAGTAAACAGTTACATGGATTAACAAAAATACTAATGTTCTGTGAAAAAGAGAGCATTTCCAGAAATTATGCTGACTTTTCATTGTGCAAGATAAAGGTCACTAATTGTTAAACTACATTGTTGTATGAATCCAATCCCAAAAGAAACACAAACCAGTTGAATGGGACAGTAGTTCATCTTTTGCAGTTGTACAGACTAATCAGAGATCACGAACAATTGTTTTCTGTTCCTTCAGCAATTAGCTTAGGGAACTGAAGTTGTTGCAAAATTCGTTGTGTTGGGCATGTTCGATGGACTGGAGTTAAAGGTAATGTCCTTCATTTCAGTAAGCTGTTTAGTTATCCTCAATTGCTTATGCTGTTTTGTCTGATCATTTCATTTCCCTGAGTTTCTTTGGTCTTTACTGAGGTGAGAAAGGGAACTTGGTTTAGCTTTTTGGCCATCAGTAAAATGAGAGGAGGAGAGAGGAGACTAGAATAGGGGATAGAAGAAGAAATTGATGAAGCACAAACTTTTAAAGCAGAGCTATTTTTTCCCCAAATAATTATATTATAAACCCTGACTGAGATTGTGATAGTTAGCCTAGAATATACAGATATCTTCTGCTCCAATACCTTAAATATTGCAGAAGCTTTTGGAATGCTAGCTAATCTTTCAACAAATGTGAAATTTCATTTTTATTATTTAAAAATCAGATATAAATAAAATGTATTTTTGTAATTTCTATGTATATATGTGCTGTATATTTATACAAGTGACTAGTCTGCTGTAGTCAGAAAATTTCCATAAACCAAGTGCAAAAAAGAAAAAGAAAAAAAAAACCTAGTAATTTTAATGATCAATATAAACACACTATGTCTGGAGGACACAAATATACATTTGGGTGACTTGGACACCAAACAACCAAAGAAACTCAATCTTTCATATAAATATAAGTCTAGTAAAGACAGACTGCTGTCTCAGTTACCTGTCAGCTAAATAATACTGATCTTATCAGTGCAATACAATACATCCAAATTGTGTTGAATTAATAGCTGCCTAAGAATATCACACTTTAAAATAACAACTTAAAAATACTGGGCCAAACCCAGCGTGCCATAAAAAGACTAGTTCTGGTTGGCTTCAGTGGGAACATCACTCACTGAGAGCAAGGCTGAGTTTCTCTATTAGGATTCGTCTATTCGTGCAAGCTTCACAAGAATCCCTTAAACAATATTCTGCTTATTTTTCAGTCATTTAAATCACTGTAACATAAGTGCAGACACAATTGAAGAGTGGCTTACATTTATTTAGCCTAAGATGGTTCATAAGTGGCTTAACCTAGCTTGGTAAGTGAAATCTACACTAAATCGTGTCAGCCACGTTTTGCATCAGCTTTATTACCTCAGTTTTTGAATGATTCTTCTATTTAGCCCAGTGAAATTTTGGAAGTAGATAGGCCCTTCTATGCAATGGGAGTGAAACGTGCTGTGAAATAAATTTCTGTATCTTAGACTCCAGTCTTGCAGAGTTATCCTAAAGCTGCAGGTATGGAAGCAGCAGCGATCACATGGATGGGAGTGTGAAGCCACGTAGCTGGGAAGGGTAGTGTTACGACATGTTCCCAAAAGAGTCACAGGAGGTAGGACATACCAGATTTAAACAGCATCTTTGGGACACTTAGCTCTTTTTTATAAATCTGTACCTGTTCTTAAATTTAGGCAATTTAGTAGTTCTATTGAAAAATGTGTGAGGGTAAAGCCTCATATATCTTACATGATGAAGCATATATCTTGCCATACTGGAAATTTAGAAGTTTGGAAATTATGTAGATGTACAGGGTTTGAATGCCTACATGCAAGCAAAATGAACAAATAGAAAAATCCCAAATAAAAACATTTAAATAGCCTTCTAGAAAGAAAAAACATTTCAGTAAAGTTAAACAAAGTACTCTTCATACTGCTGAGGAAGACCTGTTAGTCTTTCAAAATTAATTTTGTTTGGTATTGTATCCATGACGTGCAGTCTATTGAATATTCCCTGAACCATCACTCTGAAACCATTGTGGTGCACTTTATTCACAAAGACGTCTTGCATTCTTCATTCATAATGGCTTTTTATCATGTTTGTAATATGTTTTTGTATTATTTTTTTTTTAAGTAAAAAGTAAGATATCAAGACACTAAGGACATTCCTGGGAAAGAAAAATCATGCTGTAATATTTATACTGTCTGAGCACAAAGCAATGATAAAGTGAAAATATAGTGTACAAATAATTTGTAATATAATAAACATTTTGTATGACTACAATTACAATATAGTTTTTCAATACTGATTTCAAAGAAGAAAGTATACCTGTTTAAAGTTATAACCTCATCAGAATATATTCATGCCATTTTTACTGATAAAAACTTAGTCATTAAGGTTTTTCTACTAAATGCCCCAATTTTCTTTAAAATAATGTTAAATGTTTAGGTGAAAAAAACCTGTTTTCTGTGTACAAAAATGTTGATGTTCTCACCACTGACCACTATTTGTCTTCAGATTTGTAAATCATCGGTAGAAACATCTGCAAATGAAACGCACGTAAAATTACTTCTTGGTATGTGTGTTATGACCACTTTCAGTAGGTATACTATGTGTGACTTTTATTAACATCAGCAGAACAGTAACTTTATGAGGATAAGAGGGTAATCTTTGAGAGCTGTTTTTTCAGAAAAACATATTATCTGGATTTGAGAGAAGCTCTAGCACTCAGTCTAGAAATATGAATAATACTTGTATGTAGTAATATTATGGGTAGAACTTGATAGAAGTGCATGTAAATCCTATATATAGAAGTGGGGAGATTATCATAAGTAATGATTATTTCTTTTTCAGACTAACTTTGAAAAGGTGAGATGTAAGAAATGTAAGATAATGTAAGATAAAAATGTGAAGCAGGTAGAAAAAGCAGCATTGGATTGAGTGGCAGAACTGTCTAGTTTAAGGGATGATACATACAAAGCTAACTCCGGTTTTCATTATATTTCGAGACGTCTGTTGAAGAATTAATTACATTTTAATATACTGGGTTTAGTCCTGCATTGCAAATATAAGAGCTAACTGCCAGCTTCCAAAAGTCTGAAGGAGATTTGAAAGCAGCAAGTTTTCTGAGCAAGCAGAAGTCACTTCGTTTTGCTGACTTTGTTCATCCTCTACACATCTGAGCAGGTCTGAGTACTGTGTCCAAGGATGCCGTAAATCGGTTACGGTCCTGACCTTGCATTTCTAGTACATAAACAAATCTCAGTGGCTTCCCATACCTCACTGACATGAAATGAGATAGGAAGAGAACAAGTGTGAGGTAATATGAAGGATATTAACAGGCCAGGAGTACCTTAACAGTCTGGAAGCCATGGATCTTCTGTTGCATATTAACTCTTACCTAGTAGAAAATGGTTGTGTTTGGCAGCTGTTCTCAGCAAGCTACATTCATTTCATTGTCAGTGACCGTATGTATAAATTAAGACTCAGTCCTATCACAAGAGAGTGTATCGATTCATGCATCCGCTGATTTGTTTAAGCCATGTGCATTCTCTGTGCAGCTCCACGAGTGGCATAATTAAGACAAGTGGTTTCCGGTTACTCAAAGTAATCTCATGTAATAAAACACCAAGTTGTAGGACATCTTATATATATATTTTACTACATCATTAGGAGGGTGAAAAAGAAAGACGCGATCATACAGTATGTTAGTGTATTAATACCATCAGCCTTTTTTTAAAGGCTTTGCGCAAAAGGGCAAGTTTGGTCTGCTAAGCTGAGGACTGCTCCCTAGTCAGAGGGCACGAGAACTCCTCCTGCTCAGTACGCTCTTGCGGCTGGTGGAGCACATCTCCCCTCTCGCCACTCGCTGCCCCTCCAGAAAAGGGTACAAGCTGTT